AGGAGGGAGGGCTAGAGGGCAGTGGTGGTTCAGTGGTAGAATACAACAGTGAATAAAACTGTGAAGATGGATTGTTATTTTCACTTTACATGCGAGAAAACTAAGGCTCAGGCAGCGTATAAGTGCTTTATCCAAACAGAGCCATATCAAGCCCAGGTCTCCCGGCAACAGGTACAGTGTTCCTTTTGCAACATCCTGCTGCCTCTTTAAGGGAGTATCAATTCTGGGCTTAATTTCCTTAAGACATTTTTTTGTTTTTAACGTTAAGGACATTTGAAGATAAAAATTATTTGTGTGTAGACTCTTAATTAGAATGTGTCAGGTGAGAAAATTGCACAAGCAGAGCCTTAAACAGGCAGACTGAGTCTAGATTTGCATAGTAAAACTGCCAAATCTGGACCATTTGAGTCTCCTTCAATTGTGATCTAATAGAGTTCTGGGTCTATGTCCTAACACCCACCTATCAAATGACAACAATAACTAATATTTATTGCTATGTAAGTTATATGTAAATGTTGACAGTGATGATAAGGAAGAGGAACACATTATGTTCCAAGCAGTCTGAAATTCTTCACAGGTATTGATTTAATCCTCATATCAACCCTTTGCCTTAGGTACTATTTCACCAAAGAAAAAATTGAGGGTCAGAGAAGGGAAGTGTCTTGCCCAAGATAACATGGGCAGTCTGGCTGCAGAGCCTATGCTTTTAATCATTACATTCTACTCTCTCTGTGGTAGGTATGTGAGGACCTTTCATCAAGTTGGTGACATAGTAAAAGTGACACTAGTTCTTTTTTTATTTTTAATGTTGTTTTGTTTTTGAGACTATACATAGCAAAGTATATACCAATTCAGTTTTCTGCGTGTACAGTTCAGTGACATTGATTACATTCTTTGAGTTGTACCACCATTCTCATCCTCCTTTTCTGAGTTGTTCCTCCCCCATTAACATGAACTTACTGGTCCCTAAGGTTCCTCTAATCTTCTGAGTTGCTGTTGTCACTATGATCCCATATAGGTGGTTCTTAAAAGAACATAATACTCAAGGCAAACTTTTTTTTTACCAGTTAAGCTAAACTATTATTTGGTTTTAAGAAGACTTCAGGGGATGTTTTTGGTTTAAATTTAGAGATTATCTCAGGTCAGTAGTTTCAGGGATTGATCCAGCCCCCATGGCTCCAGAAAGTCTGGAATCTATGACCATTTGAAATTCTGTTCTACATTTTCCCCCTTTTGATCAGGATTCTTCTAGAATTTTTGATCAAAATGTTCAGTCATGGTAACCAAGCACCATCCAGTTCTTCTGGTCTCATGACAAAGGAGGCAGTTGTTTATGGAGGCTGTCAGCTATACGTCCCATGTCCTCCTCCTATTCCTGACTCTCCTTCTGTCTCTGTTGCTCCAGGCGAATAGAGACCAGTTGTCATGCCTTGAATGGCTGTTTGCAAGCTTTTATGACTCCAGGCACTACGCAAGGAACTAGGAGGTAGAACAGAAACACTAAGCACGTTATTAGGCCAGTTAACTGGGGTGTCCCATGAAACCATGGCCCTAAACCTCCAAACCAAGGAACCAAATCCAGTGAGGTTTTTGGTTCATAAGCAGCCCCAGCAGCTACACTTTTTTTTGTTGTTGTTGTTGTTACACATAAATCTATCACACAACTTTTGCCAGTTCAACTTTTTACAGGTGTGATAGTAGTTCTTGATGGTGGTTATCTCTTCTACCTTGTATTGGGAAGTTAAAAATTAATCTAAAGAGCCTCTTCTGAACTGTAAAGATATGGTATTTAGCAGCTCTTGATGCACAGGTTTCTCCCCTCCCCCCCTTTTTGACTATGGTATATTTGGTGAATGGCTATTTGGGGATACTTATACTCTTGGATTGAATTTATCCTTTGGTTTTCCTTCCTCTTGATGTCTGTTCATTTCTTTTAGTCACCTGCAGCCTCTTCTCAAGGTTAATATTAAAAATAAAGACAGGTGAAATGTAAAACAACTTAAGTGGTTGTTAGCAGCTTGGACAAAAGACTCCTGTAAGAGATAAGCTGCTTAAAAGTATTGGATTGGCTTTAATTCCAGTTATTTGTGGTGACTCTCTACTGGTGTTTTTCTTACTTACTTAGGCTGTTGAACAAATCACTAAAAGATTGGGTCCCTTAGGAGTTGAAGGAGACAAACATACAGAACTTACAGATACCCAAGATGTATGTATTGATGTTGGACAAACTCATTAGCCATTTACCTCATTTATAAGGATTATTATGAAAAAATGAGTCACAGAAATCACATTTTCTGACAAGTTAGTTTTGGGTAGCTCTCGCCATCTTGTTCTTCAGAGTTGAATGGCAACATTGAGGAGGTAGAATTTTGGAAACCGTATGAATAGACAGGAAAGGAAGGAGGAAGATGTTTAACCGTAGGATTGAATGTGGAAGATTAGGAGGAAAAAAAGTGAGATGATTGGAGGATTGTGTTTAGAGAAGTTGATGGTTGTTATGGATTGAATTGTGTCCCCCAAAAATGTATGTTAACTTGGCTAGGCCATGATTCCCAGTATTGTGTAATAACCATTTTGTCATCTGATACGATTTTCCTATGTATTATGAATCCTACCTCTGTGATGTTAATGAGGTGGGATTAGAGGCAGTAATGTTAATGAGGCAGGACTCAATCTACAAGATTAGGTTGTATCTTGAATCAGTCTCTTTTGAGATATAAAAAGGAGAGAAGTAAGCAGAGAGACGAGGGAATCTCATAGCACCAAGAAAGTAGTGCCAGGAGCAGAGCGTGTCCTTTGGACCTGGGATCCCTTTGCTGAGAAGCTCCTCAACTGGGGAAGACCGATGACAAGGACCTTCCCCTGGAGCTGGCACCCTGAATTCTGGCTTCTATCCTATTAAACTGTGAGATAATAAATTTCTCTTTGTTAAAGCCGTCTACTTGTGGTATTTCTGTTATAGCAGCACTAGATAACTAAGCCAGTGGTGATATCCCTCAAATATCACTTAAGTTGTCAGCTGTATAATTTGTCACATCCTACTTACTGTGACCAAAAATTGGGAGTTGTAGACCATTAAGATCCATTGTCAGCTGAGCAAGGTCAATGTTGATTATTCAACACGTAGTATGTGTAAGTTGGTTTAAGGGAAATAGCAATCAATCAAAGATTAGGCCCTAAAGGAATTTACATTTGTTAAGAGATTAAGACATGTACATTAGTATGATACAGAGTATGAAGGGATATACCATAGTATCCACAGAAGCAACATTATGTGCCTGGCATGGTGCAGGGGATTGAGCTACAATGGTGAACAATATAGCCATGGCCCCTGCTTTACAGAGTTTACATTGTATTGAGATTACAAAGACAGTAAACATTAAAATAGAGCACAGTTCGGGGTAATTGCAAAGCAGAAAGTCAGTAGGGTTGAATGTTAAGCGGTACTAAGTGACTACCTACTGACTTCAGAGAGGGCTATCCATGAACTTCTGTGTAAGGAGATGGCATTTAATGTCTTGTTGATACCTGCAGACCATGGCTCTATAGCTGTGTGGTTCCTTCACATGGAGGGTGCAGTTCTTTAAAAGCCATGCTTCTGAATCAAACCTCTGATGCACATTTAGCCAGCATTTATTGTATACGTGAATCTGTAGAACTTTTGAAGCTGGAGCTCTCTTTGGATAGGAAACATTGTTAAAATGTTAATAATTATATACGTTTCAGATTTAACTAAAATAAGTTCAAATAATGCCGTACAATACATATGCAGTGCTGCATAGGAAAGTCATAGTTTAAAAAATTATGTGGGAGCAGTATTTTGAAAAGTCCAAACATTTTTGTGCCTTTATTTCAAACTGTTTAGTTTATCAGTATTAGAGGATGGTACTCATGTTACTTGTGGCATCCATGAATGTCACTAACAAAAAAAGTTCATTATTGGTTAAAAAATCAATTTCTAAATAAAACTTTCCTCATCACTTCCAATTCTTACCATTGTCAGAGGAGGTGTGCACATTATGGTTATTAATATTAGTATCTTAAATAAATGCTATTTTTGTGTGTGGGTTATATTTTGTTTTTATCAAAATGTGTGTTTCCTAACAGGATAACATATTTTAGTCCTGGTGTATTATCATTTAGGTTTTATATTATTTGAAGTCTGTTATTCCCATTTCTTGATAAATGTCCCAGGGAGAATTTTTTTATTTTTTATTGTGCTTTAGGTAAAAGTTTACAGCTTAAGTCAATTTCTCATACAGAAATTTATACACACTTTGTTGTGTGACACTAGTTGCAATCCCTGAAATGTGACAGCACACTCCCCCTCTCCACCCCCGGTTTCCCATGTCCATCCAACCATTTCCTGTCTCTTCCTGCCTTCTCATCCTGCCTCCAGACAGGAGCCGCCTTTTTGGTCTCCTGTATCTGCTTAAACTAAGAAACACTCTCTTCATGGGTATTATTTTATGTTTTATAGTCTGGTCTAATCAAGAGTTGCCTTCGGGAATGGTTTTAGTTCTGGGTTAACAGAGTCCGGGGGCTGTGTCTTCCAGAGTTCCTCCAGTCTCAGTCAGACCATTAAATCTGGTCTTTTTATGTGAATCTGAGTTCTGCTCCACACTTTTCTCCTGCTCCATCAGGGACCATCTGTTGTGTTCCCTGTCAGGGCGATCATTGGTAGTAGCCACGCACCATCTAGTCCTTCTGGTCTCAGGCTGATGGAGTCTCTGGTTTATGTGCCCCTTTTGTCTCTTGGACTACTGTTTTCCTTGTATCTTTGGTGTTCTTCATTCTCCTTTGCTCCAGGTGGGTTGGGACCAGTTGATGCATCTCAGATGGCGCTCGCAAGCTTTTAAGACCCCAGACGCCACTAACCAAAGTGGGATGCAGAACATTTTCTTAATAAACTTTGTTATGCCAGTGGACCTATATGTCCCCTGAAAGCATGGTCCCCAGACTGCAGTCCCAGCTACTCTGTCTAGGGAGAATGTTTTGGTTTTGCATTTGAGATAAAAGCATGGAAAGGTTATTATCACTTAACATGGGAGAAAATAATTTGGTATATATATTTTTTTTCTGAAGGAGTATATTGAGAGTACTGTGTCAGTATCTGCTTAAGGGCATGAGTTTTACGTTTGCTGTAGTGTGTGTGGGCACTCAGGAAGGCCTTTATTTCCTCCAGACACAACTACTAACTTGTTTTTAAAGTTACTGAAAAATTCAACTAGGGTTTCTTGATCTTTTTACCACCAAATAACGTTTTTATTTCCCCTGAAATGCCATGTTTTAAAATATTTTGTTATGGGAAATTTTTGAAGAAATCACTTATTTCCCCATTTTTATTCTTCAGAGACGCTTGTGACTGCTAGTGGGAGTCTCTGTTGAGAACAAGATTAAACAGGTGTTACCACACTGAGGTGATAAATTTGAATCCCAAACAGAGACTTTTGACATTTTTCTTAGGTATATAATTAATCATTGTTGTTATATGTTCTGTTTCTGTTAGGCTTTTTAAAATGTTAAAAATAGCTTGTGGGCCCCATGTTGGGAACCACTGACTTATGGACTCCACTGGAGAAGCAAGTACTGTTGTGGAACAAAGGGAAACAAAACAAAAATATTTACAGGGTGGTCCTTTTCCTCTAGAATAGGCTACTGGTTTTTCCTTTTCTGCACAGAAACATCTCCTTAGGCTGTTTAGTTAGTTTTGTGTTGGAGTTACTGTTTTCATTGTTTTTTATCTCTTGTTTTAGGAAGGAAGACTTCAAGAAGTCATTGAAACCCTTCTCTCTTTGGAAAAACAGACCCGTACAGTGAGTAGATTATAGTGAAAACCACAATTACCATTGATTGCACTTGATGTTGTTCCATTAACTTTTAGTGTATTTTCATTCTTACAGGCTTCTGATATGGTGTCGACATCCCGTATCTTAGTTGCGATAGTGAAGATGTGCTATGAGGCTAAAGAATGGGATTTGCTAAATGAAAATATTATGCTTTTGTCAAAAAGACGGAGTCAGTTAAAACAAGTGAGTTCATGATTCCTCAAAAAACAAATACATTTCCACTTTAAGACTTTTAGAAAACTCTTCTATGAATCTGTTAATTTACGGTTAAATCAACATTAGAGCCTTCTAGAGGGTTTTGAAAAGTTCTGCCCATATACTCATAATGCCACAACCTTTTTTATTTGTTTTTTTCTTACAATGTTTATATATTAGCATGCTTTCACAAAATTGTACTTAACATGCTGGTGCAGCTGTGTTCTACGTGTTGCTTCACACCTTCATATTTGTCATTTTAAATGGTTGCATTATTATCTATCATGTTGATAATCTATTATTTATTTAATTATGTCTTTTATTGAACACGTGATATTTAATTCTTTTTTTAAATTGTACTTTAGATGAAAGTTTACAGAACAAACTAGTTTCTCAGTAAACAGTTAGTACCCATATTGTTTTATGACATAGGTTAACAACCCCACAACATGTCAACACTCTCCCTTCTCCATCTTGGGTTCCCTATTATCAGCTTTCCTGTCCCCTCCTGCCTTCTAGTCCTTGCCCCTGGGCTGTTGTGCCCCTTTAGTCTCGTTTTGTTTTATGGGCCTGTCTGATCTTTAGCTGAAGGGTGAACCTCGGGAGCGACTTCGTTACTGAGCTGAAAGGGTGTCTGAGGGCCATACTCTCGCAGTTTCTCCAGTCTCTGTCAGGACAGTAAGTCTGGTCTTTTTTTGTAAGTTAAAATTTTGTTCTGCGTATTTCTCTAGCTCTGTCCGGGACCCTCTATTTTCACCCCTGTTAGAGCAGTCAGTGGTGTGGTAGCCAGACACCATCTAGTCGTAATGAACTCTGTCTAGTGGAGGCTGTGGTAGATGTGGTCCATTAGTACTTTGGACTAATCTTTCCTTTGTATCTTTAGTTTTCTTCATTCTTCCTTGCTCCCTAAGGGGTGAGACCAATGGAGTAGCTTAGATGGCTGCTCACAGGCTTTTAAGACCCCAGATGCTACTCACCAAAGTAGAACATAGAACATTTTCTTTATAAACTGTGTTATGCCAGTTGAGCTAGATGTTCCCTGAGACCATGGTCCCCATAGCCCTCAGCCCAGCAATTCGGTCCCTCAGGGAGTTTGGATGTGTCTGTGGAGTTAACTCATTTTTGAGGCCATTTTTAGATAAATTACTTTGACTACTCATTTGGTTTTAAATTATGTAGTTCTCTTTTGATGTTTTTGTTTAGCTGAATTTTCTTTAATATTTCCTCATTTTTTCTGCTTGAGATACATTTAAATGATCCTCTGTAGAAGTACAGTCTACATTTAACATTTGTATTTTTTCTTTAAAATGCCCTTCCCTAAGTTGTTTCTGGGTTGTTTTTTTTTTTTTTGCTTTCAAATGAAGATAAAACAGAATAGTCATGGAACAAAGACAGGAGATACAGAGTCCTAGTCCAAATCCCTTATTTTATTCATTAGGTTGCTACTAGGGTGAGCTTGGTATTAGGATGAGTTAAATTATTGTAATTGTTTTTTGTTTGTTTGTTTTTTTAAAGACAAATTCACATGCATATAAAAATTAACAGATTTAATTGACTCAATCTAGTACATGTGAATGTAAAATTTATTTAAATGTGCTTTTTGGTGCTCCTGTGGTTTGAGAGACCATCATCTTAATCTGTTTTGCTAAAGAGACTTCTTTTCTGGGGGACAATTGGAAAGGGCTTCTTAGTTAGAAGTCTTGGGGCAGCTTAAGGAGCCCTGATGGCGCAGTGGTTAAGCACTTGGCTGCTAACCGAAAGGTCAGCGGTTTGAACCCACCAGCTGCTGCACGGGAGAGAGTTGTGGCAGTCTGCTTCCCTAAAGATTTACAGCCTTGAAAACCCTGTGGGGCAGTTCTACTCTGTCCTATAGGGTCATTATGAGTTGGAATCAACTTGATGGCAGTAGATTTGGAGGCAACTTGGGTTAAAATAAAAATACATGTTTTATGTAGTATTGGGAGAATTCAAATTACATATCCTAACATACAGATTTAATTTCAAAGAATCATAAAATTTTAGAGGTAGAAGAGGGGACTATTTAACTCTGATGCTTTTCAGATGGAGAAACAGAGATTTATATGTAAGGCTCTTGGAGTGTGAAGAAATGTACACACTATATAGCCCCTGTCCTCAAGTTACCTGTAGTCTAGTAAGGAATATATATCACAAGTAATCATAGTACACCTTTAACAAATGTCTTTAAGATTGAGAAGGTCCCTGGGTGGTACAACTGATTTGTGCCCAGTTACTAACCTAAAGGGTGGTTGTTCAAACCCACCCTGTGACATCTCAAAAGAAAGGCCTGGCAATCTGCTTACATAAAGATTACAGCCAAGAAAATCCTGTGGAGCAGTTCAACTCTTAACTCATGGGGCGCCATGAATCGGAATTGACTCGGCAGCAATAGGTTTGATTTTGGTTAGGACCGATTACAGAAATTACATATACACACTAGGCTATATATGGTTAAGTGTCATAAAAGTAATGAAAGGTACTAGAAATGTGGAAGGAGGAAGACAGGACTTTTAGATTAGGTTTATTAGGGTCAGCTTCTTGAAAAAGTGGGACTTGAGCCAGTCTCACAATTGGCTGATGGCGGAACCAGAACTGGAACTGGATCTGATCCTTCCACTATAACATATTACATCTTCATAGCTATGGAAAATGCTTAGGGACTCAAAATGTCTCTTTTCTTTTCCCATAGTTACTTTTTTTTTTAAAACCAAAACATTTCTTTTTTGCTTTAGCAAACCTAGAAAGTAATGATTTTTCTATATAACCTTTTCCAGATATGCTTAAAATTAATGGTTTCTGATTCACTGTCTGTCACTTGAGCCCAGGGGGTAAGCCTCACTCCAGCCGTAACTTCCCTAATGACCTGCCTACAATTATTTTTTCAGAAAGCAGCAGGATGTTCACTTCTCATCAGAATATTGATAGTGTTTTTTTTTAACCCATCTGATTTCTGTTAACATAATTTTTGCATAGTTTATAGAATTATCAAGTTGATGCCCTTGTAGAAATCATTGTTAGAATTACTTTCAGAGGGATCATGTGTTTTGCGAGATACTGAGTGTCCATGAGCCTTGCATTTACTGAAAGAGTTATATTTTGCAATAAAACCTTGGCTTTCTGGAACCCCTGTGTCTCTAAACAGCCAGTTTTTCACATAGTTAAAAGTTTAACCTGAGCTGCTTAAACATTAAATGTTTTTATGATCTTTCCAAGGCATGCTGTTCACCTCTGCTATCTTAAGCAAAATATACTTAATGTAACTGGATGACTAAGGGTCCTAATTATAATTGTCAATGATTATGAGATGCTGTTTAGAATCTACATTAGGAGTCGGCAAACTATGGGTTGTAGACCAAATTTCGCCTGCCACCCATTTCTGTAGATAAAGTTTTATTGTAACAGAGCCATGCCCATTTGTTTTCATATTGTCTATTGCTGCTTTCACATTACAGTGGCAGAATTGAGTAATTGCCACCAAGACTGTATTGCCTGCAAAGCTTAAATTATTACTGTGTGGCCCTTTACAGGAAAAGTTTGCCAATCCCTGATCTAGATCATAGAATGTTAAAGCTGGAGGGAACTTAACTGAGAATGCAGCCCAGCCCACTTACATTACTTGTGAGGATACTGAGGGCAAGAGAAGCTGTGGCTTTAAATGTCATATTTTATTGAGGTGAGCATGGGTGTCTGTGGCTTCTCCTTTCCACCTAGATAAGTGAACTGTTTTACCTTCAGCTTCTGCCACTGATTCTTTTCTCTTCAGTTACAGTGTCTGCTGGTCATGGATTTACTGCTATCACAGCCACTGTTGAACTCTGCTTTTCTTTTCCCTGTTTTTTCCCCACTTCAGACTGCTGCCACTTCTTTCATGTTTTTCTGCTTGGTTGCCAAAATGCCAGCTAGCCTTCTAATAACATTGCCAGTCAGACCTCTTGCACCTTCTCTTTTGTATAATCACCTCACCAGTGCTGGTGTGTGGCGTAGAGCCTTTGCAACTGAAGTTTTCCTCACCTTTATTCATTTGCTTCTGGGTATTCAGGGCTACTTCTTAGACTTAGGGTGTTGTTGATGTTCTTTTATGGGCATTTCAATATCTGTAGTTGCTTCGAAAAGCCAAATTTGAGCATAACACTTTTGTCAGAATAGTCTTAGGTCTTTTTCTTGTATGAGGAATGAATTTTACTTACAAACTGTTTTCATTATTTTAGGCTGTTGCAAAAATGGTTCAACAGTGCTGTACTTACGTTGAGGAAATCACAGACCTCCCAGTCAAACTTCGATTAATTGATACTCTGCGAATGGTTACAGAAGGAAAGGTAGGTTTTCTGTCGGCATAACTCAAAATGATATGTATTGTCTTATCTGTATTCAAAGATATTTATATATATAGGTATGTGTGGTGTGTGTATAAACATATATATGTAAATATATGAACATATATTTAAGAAGAAATACACGTAATATCCCCTTAATTCCACCAATAATATCTTTGCACATATCCTTTTAGTATCCTTCCGTATGCAAATGAATATGCTTAAGTAATGGCGGTCTTGGTACCCAGATTTTTTTAGGAATTAGTGGTCTTATCCAAAATTTACATACAGTGATAATGAATTAAAGATAAAGTTAACTCTTCACCCTGCCTAGATCTGCTTGAAAAGTCTGTATTTGGGATAGCAAAGATTTGACTCTAATATTTAAATTAATACAGTATTTGGAGTATAAGATTATTTTCACCCTGGCTTACCAGATTCTATTTGTATTTCTTTTTTTTTCTTGTAATCTCATTGTTTTCTTAAAAACGACAGGTGTGAAATGGTGACTGTGGTAGATATGCTTCTTTGTAGGTAGATTTTTGTGGTTTGAGGACAACTTTAGCTTATTCATTGTCTCTTTCTGACTCTCACTTCAGTAAATGTTTATTGAGCACCTGTGTTGTGTTAGTTCCATAATGAGCAAGAAACTAATTTCTCACCTCAGAGATTAATGTACTGGAAGACAAGATCATATAAATAAGTAGTCAGTGTGCACTGCCGTGACAGTAGCAGTGTGCCTACAGTTTCCGTGTAGCACAAAGGTAGGGATTGACTGACTGAGATGCCCAGGGAAGCTTCAAAGAGTAGATGATAGCTGAGCTGATTTTTTAAGAATGAATAAAAATTCTAAAGGGCCAGAGGGTGAGGAGAAGGACATTTTAGACATTGTTGTTACTAGGTGCCATTGAGTTGGCGCCGACTCATAGCGACCTTACGTATAACAAAACAAAATGTTGCCGGGTCATGCGCCATCCCCACAGTCATTGTCATGTTTGAGCCTATTGTTGCAGCCACTGTGTTAGTTTATCTTATTGAGGGTCCCGCTCTTTTTCTCTGACCCTCTACTTCACCAAACATGGTGTCTTTCTCCAGTGATTAGCCTCTCCTGATGACATGTCCAAAGTAAGCAAGACAAAAAGTCTTCAGACATAGAGGAAATTATATATAAAGATACTAAACTAAGAAACACATGATACAGTTAACAAACTGTGTTGTTAGTTGCTGTCAAGTTTGTTCCAGCCATGGCAACCTTAAGTATAACAGAATGAAACGTTGCCAGGTCATGTACCATCCTTATAATCCTTGGTATGTTTGAGCCCATTGTTGTGGCCATTGTGTCAGTCCATCTCATTGAGGGTCTCCCTTGTTTTCACTGACCCTCTACTTGAACAAACGTGATGTATTTCTCCAGCAATTGGTCCCTCCTGATGACACGTCCAAAAGTAAGTGAGACAGAGTCTTTAGATGTAGGGAAAATTATATACAAAGATGCTAAAGTAAGAAATACACGATATATTTAGGCAACTATGTTGTTAGTTGCCGTTGAGTCAGTTCTGATTCATGGCGACCTTATGTTGCCAGGTCATGTACCATTCTCGTGATCGTTACTGTATTTGAACCCGTTGTTGCGGCTATTGTGTCAGTCCATCTCATTGAGGGTGTTTTTCGCTGACCCTCTACTTTAGCAAACATAATGTCCTCTTCTAGTGATTAGTCTTTCCTGATGACATGTCCAAAGTAAGCAAGACAAAGACTCACCATGCTCCCCCTCACTGTAGTTTAGGGAACTGTAAATGGTTTGGTATTACTGGAAATTAAGGTCTCTATGGTTGGGGTGGAATGGAGAGAGAGTTGCTGCAGAGCAGAGGCTGGAGAGATGTTAAGACTAAGCATGAAAATCAGTTTCCTAGACTCCATTAGGTTGTAGGTATATTTTTAATATTTAATTTGTTGGAAATTATAAATTTGCTAACATTACTTATAGCTATAAAAAATGCTAGTGATTCTTAGTATTCAGCAAGACCCATTATTTTTAAAGAAAATAGCTTTGTATTTAAAGATAAATAAGAATTAGAATATTGGCTGGGTTGTAGATATTGAACTACATAGGCTCATTGTAGAGTTTGCTGTTTTTTAAAGAATCAATTTTTTTTTAAAAGCCCTTTTCATTTTCTGTGCCATTTATGTAGCTTGAGGTCGTGTGACTTGTTAAACACAGTAATTTCACATTTAGATTTTCAAAGCAAAACTGCAAAATATGGATAATGTTTTATAGAGACATTTTCTTAAAATTATATTTATAAAACATTTTGTAGCTTTGTTTGTATATGGCAGGTTAAGGGCACAAGGGCTACGAGATAAAATCTGTTATACTTATTTTTGAATGATAGTTCTGCCTTTTTAATTTTAATACTTTCGACAAGCATTTTGACCATGTAAATTTCTCTTATTTATAGATTTATGTTGAAATTGAACGTGCTCGACTGACTAAAACATTAGCAACTATAAAAGAACAAAATGGTGACGTGAAAGAGGCAGCTTGCATTTTACAAGAGTTACAGGTAAGATGCTGCGTTTCGGAGTTTATAACATTTATACTTAGCGATATTTTCTTGTGGAAGTAAATTATCATGGAGCCTTATCAAACTTTTTTTCTAAACCACTAAGAGTGTGCACAATAAAGTGTGGAATTTACTCAAGTACCTGCAAATTGTGTAATTACATTCCAGCTAAATTTAACTGCTAAAAAAGTTTTGATGAAAAGTTGGGATCAATACATTACTCTTGATTTTGTGTTATTATTTAAAAACTTTAATTCTATTTAGAATCTAAATAAAATAGGTTAACTCAGGTACTATGTACTTATGCCTTAGGAATCTGCTGTTAATCATTGGCTTCATTCTTAATTCTTAATATTTGACTGCCGGTTGATTTCTAGGTTAAATTGGTTTAACAACAAAAAATTGCCTCATAATTTACCATGTTTCAGGGTAATCTTTAAGAGAGGCCTCAAAATGAGGCAGCAAAGAGCTGAGAAACCTGAGGAAAGTTATATATTCTCTCACCAGTAAAATATACATGTGAACTATGCTCAGAATTTTGCATATAATTTTAGGGAATTCATACTGTCTCCCTGGAACCTATCAAGGTCCCCACCCTCCCACTAAGTTACATTGATTATTCTAATGTTTCAATCGTGTACAAGTTACCCAATAGCTAAAGGAAAGGAAACAATAACATTCCTGTGAGAGTCTTTGTGCCGTGCATTATCCTCTTTGTTTTTGGTAAAGATATATATGTATAACAAAACATTTGCCATTTTAACATTTTTACATCTACAATTCCGGGACGTTGATCACATTCATCTTGTTGTTTAGCCATCACCACTATCTATTTCAAGAGTTTTCCCATCACCCTTAACAGGAGCTCAGTGTTTCCTGAGCAGTGAGTCCTCCTTTCCTGCTCCACTCCTGGTAACCACTAAATAACTTTTTTTTTTTTTTGGTAACTTTTTGGCAGAAACTAACTTTTTGTATAATGGTCCACATTCTCCCAGTGTGCATGAAGGTTCTTACTGTTTGGTGAGGGTGAATATTTTAACATTAATTCTGTTATAACTCTTAAAAATTACTGAATATTATACACTTATTTGGGCAATTACTCTACTAGGTGGAAACCTATGGATCAATGGAAAAGAAAGAGCGAGTGGAGTTTATTTTGGAACAAATGAGGCTCTGCCTAGCAGTGAAGGATTACATTCGTACCCAGATCATCAGCAAGAAAATTAATACCAAATTTTTCCAGGAAGAAAATACAGAGGTAAGCATATCTCTGACTCCATGTTTACTCTAAAAGTATTCGAAAAAAACCTGTAAAACAATTTATTTTAACTTTTTTTCAGAAATTAAAATTGAAATATTATAACTTAATGATCCAGCTGGATCAACATGAGGGATCTTATTTGTCTATTTGTAAGCACTACAGAGCAATCTATGACACTCCCTGTATACAGGCAGAAAGTGAAAAGTGGCAACAGGTAAGAATATATTCTTGTAATTGACACTGATACTTATTAGGAAGGGTTTGCATTTTTAATTTGTTTTAAAATCATTTTAACTTCAGTTAAGTATATGCAATTGTATCATGGTGCTTTTTATTCAGCGTGTGATGCAGACCAGTTGGGATAGTAGTCTAAATTGTGTAACACTTTTAAACAGTTACAGGCGTACTGTTTAAAATAAGTACAGTGGGTTACCTGTTAACAAAGGTTACAGATAAAGACCCAGCATTACTTGGGAAGTTATTTTACAAAAGCGTGAGTCGATGGCAACTAACAACAGTAATTTTAAGTAGCTTATATATATATATTCAACGTACGTTGTTAATTTGTTAAACAAAATTTTTTTTCTTTATACAGTTGTCAAAAATGAATGTCAGCTCAGGCGGTAGTGCAAAGTAACAAAAATTTATTGTAATGGTTTTATGAAAACTAAATATTACAAGAAACCAAAAAACCAAACCCATTGCCATCGAGTTGATTCTGACTCATAGCAAACCCACAGGACAGAGTAGAACTGCCCCATAGGGTTCCTAAGGAGCAGCTGATGGATTCGAGCTTCTGACCTTTTGGTTAGCAGCCGAGCTCTTAACCACTGCACCACCAGGGCTAAAATATTACAAGGGGACACTATAAAAAAAAGCAACCTGGTAAGATTTTTTTTTCCCCCTAAGACTTTTTGAGTAGAAAATAAAAAATGAATATTATCCCACAATTTTCAGTTCCTGCAGAAGTTTCCATTTTGTTTCATATCTTGTAAATAACATCTTGTATCATACAACTGACTTTTTTAGGCTCTGAAAAGTGTTGTTCTTTATGTTATCCTGGCTCCTTTTGACAATGAACAGTCAGATTTGGTTCACCGAATAAGTGGTGACAAGAAGTTGGAAGAAATTCCCAAATACAAGTAAGTACTTTTGTAATTAGCATAGGGTAAACCTTTTGAAAGAAAAGTGGTTAATCTGAGTGTATGTTTCTTAGTTGGTTGCCGATAGATACATGGAGAGGGTCCTGATTATACTAGAGAATAAAACTATGAGGTAATAAAGTGGTGAAATGTTTTTTAGTATTGCATTAGAAATTAACGTAGTGAGATAAGACACTTCATTCTACACCACTTATCAAGTAGAAATTTTATTTCAAGCCCACTTTAGCAACTTTTGGTTAATTAACCATTTGATAACCATTTGCTACTCAGTTTTGTCATTAGTAGCTTGGGAGTTTGTGATTTTTGGAAATAGGCATTTCTGAAAATCTGTTATGTAAAACACATTTGCTTCACACAATAGCACAATAGACTTTCATTTTTAAAAAACTGTTTTTCATCACTAAGTTTATAGCTGATTATTCCAGAGATTGGCACATGTAACAGGAGAGAGCAGAATGTTAAATAGAAGAAGGCAGTATTCAGAACTACTATGGAAAAATTGATAATGAAGTTAGTAAAATAATCAACTTGTTTTACTAAATAAAAATTTGTAGAAACAGTCTGTTGATTTTAAAAATTTGTTATTACTGTAAAAATGATTGAAATGACAAATGTTTTGTTATATTTATTTTACCACAGTAAAAAAATTCTGTTGTTTTATTAGGTGATGCTTAATTTTTACGGATTTAGAGTATTGATTTTTTTACAATTTACAGGGACCTTTTAAAGCTTTTTACCACAATGGAGTTGATGCGTTGGTCCACACTTGTTGAGGACTATGGAATGGAATTAAGAAAAGGTTCTCGTGAAAGTCCAGCAACTGATGTTTTTGGCTCTACAGAGGAAGGTGAAAAAAGGTGGAAAGACTTGAAGAACAGAGTTGTTGAACATGTAAGAATCTGGCATGATGCAGATGCCAATTTTTATTGTAACTTTAGTGAATTTTGGTTTTTAGAACTATCTTAGAATTAAACTTTAGCAAATTTGAGCATAAACTTTTATTTTTCAAACTTGCTAATCAAATGTTTCTTTCGGATGTTATGTCTTAATTCTTCAGGACTGGTTTTTCCTATCCCCAGTGTAGAAGTGATGTAAATTTGTTGTTCAAATGCTTTATTATATATTCCCCAAAACATATCAGAATTTAACTCATCCATCTTGTCTTTTCGGTTTTTGGCCTTCCAGAAAAGGTAATTTTGTTTTAGTATGCTTCGTTTTGCAAGGATCTCTCGAGAAGCCAAAATTTTATAGCATATAAGCCAGAACGAATTTCCTAAGAATGTGGGGCAGAGGTGGAGAGGGTTTCTAATACCCACATGCTAGTCTTGGAAAGGGATAACATACATTAAACCTGAAATTTGATCTGTGATCTTTTTAGTATCACTACAAATTTAATTATGTCAGCATTCTTTCAGTCACTCAACAAATATTTATTGTGAGCTTACTGTGTGCCAGCCTCCATACAAAGTTCTGGGACACATGGGTGAATAGGACATAGTCTCTACTTTCAAGAACCTTAAAAGTAATAAAAGGGACAGATGTGTTCATAAATAATAAAATCATTGTAGATATTATGGTATAGGTAGATCTAGAATAGATGCGGGGATAGGAGAGTTGGTTGATTCTACCTGGAAGAAGGATCAGGATAGATATATAGGAGTTGATACATGAGGTGAGAGTTCTAAGAGGAGTCTGCAGTTATCAGGAGGACAATGGAGGGCCGTTTGTATTTGGCAGATGGGATAGTATGAGCACAGACACAGAGGCAGAAGACAGCAGGGCATGCTTGGAGAGCTGCAAGAAAAGGGCTCAGTGAGAAATGAAATTGGAAATGTAGAAAGGGGCTGTATAAATTTGTACACCCCGCTCCTAAAATCTTATAACTGAGAGGATAATAATTAGGTTTGTATGTTACAAAGATCCCCCTGGGAGTAGTGTGGACAATGTATTTGGAGAAAAATAAAACTGAAGAAGACTAGATGAGTGAGGGGCTATATGTGCTCGAATTAAGGCTGTAGCCAAGGAATTAGAGACTTGTGAATGGAATGGAATTATTTTAAGGAAGTAAGTCAGTAGAATTTGGCTGTTGATTAGATGTAATACTGAAGGAAAAGTTGAGGGTCTAGCATGACTCAGACTTCCGGAGAGGTTGGTATTGCCATTGATCCTGATAGAGACAGGAGGGAGGTCCACCTTCTTAAAGATGCTAAACAATCATTTTTCTCCCCACTGTTCCCCGTTTTTCTGTATGAATGCTGTTTTATTAATGATTTTAACACTATAATGAAGGGGAGCCTGTATGTCTAACTTTAGCACTGCTTCCAGTGAAAATTGGGTAATTAATTTCAAGTTACCTTTAAGTAGTTGGAATAGTGATAAAGTGGTGAGTGTTTTGAGATGATTTCCAAACAATTTTTGGATTTTAGCCTTTTAAACATTTGTGTCATAATTAGAAAAGCTTAACTTTAAATTCTTGCATTTAGCAAAAATATTTTGGTACAGTTATAATTCTTAACCACTTAATTATGAAGAGTGTATGATTTGACTATATATTTAAAAGGAGTTGTGTTAAGAATTCATAATCACTTAAAGAAAAAAACTGCAGAAACCAAACTATTTGTTTTGTTACTGGAATTTAGAACCAGCTTCATTCCAGTGGTGGCTATAGAGAAATAAAAGCTCTGAATCTGACATTTTAACTAAACCTATTTGGATACGAAAACAAGTGGACTTTTAGCCTCATTGACAACTGTTACGTGTTCTTCCTGTCCTCTGTCCTCCCTAGAATATTAGAATAATGGCCAAATATTATACAAGGATAACAATGAAGAGGATGGCACAGCTTCTGGATCTGTCTGTTGATGTAAGTAGTAAACATTGTTGGAGTTATTTATAGCCATTTTTAATATCAGTCCACTTAGAAAATTTAAGTGAGAAAATCCATTTTGTTTTGTTATTTAATTTTATATTTAGATGATAAAAGTTTCCCAAGCTATCTTAGTACCAAAAAATAGCCTAAACATCATTCATTTAACTTTGTTAGTTTTACATTTGTTAATTTGAAATCCAAGGTATATACTTATATAGTATATGTGGTTCAATTCCTACAAAAAATAAACTGCATAAATAAAAAATGTGAGAAAGACTTGATTGCAGTTCACCTGACAAAGTCCTGGACTTGTTAGAGGAGCATTGTATTCAGGTCTGAGTTTCACGTTGACAAAAAGTGTAATGTACAATGAGATAGGAGTTAACTGAAGTGTACAGTAATGGTCTGAAAAGCCATTTCTGTCACCAGAAAGAGTTGTGACAGTTTAGCTGAAAAAGAAGAATCGTGGAGTGTTAGAGTTAAAAGGATTGATCCTTGGTTAGCTAGTTAGCTCTTCTCATTTGTGGATGTGAGGGTACCAGAGTCCTTAGAAGTAAAGTGCCCGCTCATGGATAAGGAATTGCCAAGTGGCAGAGCATATATTCTAACCTAGCTTTTCTGGAAACACATTAACAGATACTTTACTGCCTTCTAAGGAGTGTGTCAATACTCCCTTTGTAGAAGAGGGAGTAGACCAACTTACTGTTGGAACAGGCTCTTCCCCAGTACCAGCAGCTATATGTTCACAGGGAGGCCCATTCAAACTCAGCATCGACATAAAAATTGACAGTCAGATCAGATTCTATTAATTCCTTAGGCTAGCAGTAAAAATAAGTACATTATTACAGGACAAGTTGCCAACTATTAATAGTGAATTTTAGCCCTGCATGTTCTTGGATTAAGAATTTAGGAAATGGTTTCCTTAAATTTTGTTTATTGCTAGTGTGATTATCGTGTTTGAATCCAACTTGTCTTTCTCTCTTGCAGGAGTCAGAGGCTTTTCTCTCAAATCTAGTAGTTAACAAGACCATCTTCGCTAAAGTAGACAGGTTGGCAGGAATTATCAACTTCCAGAGACCCAAGGATCCAAATAATTTATTAAATGACTGGTCTCAGAAACTGAACTCATTGATGTCGCTAGTTAACAAAACTACACACCTCATAGCCAAAGAGGAGATGATACATAATCTACAATAAGGTCTGGATGCCTTTAGTACTTTTAGAGAAGAGTAAAAATTGAAAGTCGAAAGAAAGACTGTTATCATGGTGTATATGTTGGGTTTTTCCTTCTATTCTCAGTTTCTTTGTCTAAAAATTAAAAGATAGTGAATATGTTTGAGGCCCTTTTTTACCTTAAGTTCCCTTATTTCATTCATTGTTTAACTTTGTGTTGGTAGTTGGTGCAAAAATATAATACCATTTTTATTGTTCGACTCAAGAAATTGTGTCATAACTTACCCAGATATGTTTTTCTATTATTTGACACTTTTTTTAGCTATTACTTGTTTTCATTCAGCTAACAAGCATAATTATAATAAAAGCAGTATGTACACGTTTTTCTTTTTATGGTTACCTCTGTTTTCTGAGCATTTCATTGGGTAGTGATTTGGCAAGTGTTTTTTTAAATAAAATAAATCCTGTTGTAAAGCTGTCAGTTACTAAGTAGAATAAAAAAGCAGCGTGGAATATAACAAGAACATTTGGGGTGGAGTTGTGATTTATGAAGAATTTGTATTTTGGTATTGTGCCAGAAGTATCTAGGCTGAATGTATTAGTGCTCCAGTAGGCTATGGACCTAGTCCCCCCCGCCCCCGGTCAAGCTGGTTTCAATCATAATAGTTTGACTTTTTTTTGTTAACCTCCCTCCCCTGATTTGACCAGTTGCTTACCAAAATCAAATGGCATCATGTTGACACAGGCTGTTAGGTGTTAACTGCTGTCTGTATGGTTAGTGACTTTTTTTGGTTTGGGCTCTTCTATGTGTTTTTCTCTTTTATTGTTTTAAATTTAGCACAGAGAGTTGTTTTTTATAAGACTTTTTGGAGTAAGCCTTATAACAAGCACACTTATGAGTTATTTACCAATTTCTTAGTGTTACAAAAAAGAATCCACTAGCATAGGCATTGACTTATAGGTTTATTACATCATTAATACTCCAAATTTATTGTCTCTCTATAGGAACTTTAGTTCTGTTATATGAAGGCTGGATAACCTGTTTAAAATGCTTTAAAAATGGTAAAAAAGAAAAACTTCAGCCCACCCTCATAGCAAATAATATAATATTAAACTTTTTTTTCACCAAATTAAAACAAATAAAAATAGTTCTACTGTCAAAAGAAACATCTGAGATCAGTTAGTGTGAGCAAATTTGGGAAGTGTTTTTTTATTTGATCTATTTCAGAGAAAATACAAAAATGAAACAGTGTTAGAAGGTTATTTAAAATATTTAAACCAAGAAAGTGTGAGGTCTACTTTTCAAAAAAAAAAACAAATGAAGAGGGGGAAAAAAAACAAGTTAGCATTTTAGAAAACACCATGTCTCATAATTCATTTTCCATTTAATGATCACTAAATTGTCCTAGTTCATGATCCTAGGGCTGGGGACAGTTGTGGGACTTCTATAATACTTATGCTGTGAGTCATTGTGAATAGAGACACATAATATTAAAGTAATCTAATTTTCTTCTTTGGAAACTTAATGCAATGATAACATTAATAACATTAACATCTGTTATCACTTATCTTTAAAAAACTAACCAAAAATATGGCAAGTTCAGAAACATCAGAATTTCACACTAACAGTAAGAATATGGTTTTAATTTTCTTTGGAATGAAAAAGAAAATGAAATAATATTTTTAATTTGTAAATAAAGTTGGAGCTAATTTGAATCTAGCTTCTCATTACCTTCATCTTTCTGGCTACTTACTCCTTTGGATTTGCCGAACCTGGACTATTTGGCCAAATATAATGCTGTAGATCTAATACGCCCCTTCTCTTTGGTCTTTATTTACCACTTTGACTTTCAGATGGAAGTTCTTTGTGTATCCTGATTTGGTGCCATTTGTAACTGTCCCAGTGCCCAAATCTCAGTTGACTTGATTAGCTGTTAATGTACTTCTTGTTTTATTTCTGTCAAACATTAATCGAGCAAGCTTATGAGTTTTTACCAGTTTCTTAGTATTCTTTAAAAGAACCTAAATGAATCCCGTCTTACATTTCAAACTTAAAACTGGCATTCATGGAAAGGATAGAACCCCTTTGTTTTAAATATGGAGAAGATAATACTTGATTCATTAACATTTTTGTTAGTGTACTAACAGCAAGAGAAGCGATGAACCTTTGTGAGGTTTTTTTTTTTTTTAAATATAGCAACTTTACTGAGCCTTTTCCATATAATTTATGTTTTTATTTTAGAGGTCAATCAGTAGTTGTTTCTGTAATTCTCAATTTCCATATACTTGTTGCTAAATCATTGAAAAAAGTTTTCTTTAAAATTATACAGTTTCAATCTTTTGTAAGTGTTAAATGTATGATAAAAGCACATATTTTAAATTGTTTTAAGCTCCTGGATATCGTAGCAATAAAAACACTAATTTATGGGTACTTAAGAAAATTTGGAGAATAAACTCATACTTTAAAAAGGTTACTTCTTTTTTCATTTATCTTACTGTTTAAAACAAAAAGCTATAGATAATATTTTTATCTTTTCAAAATCTTCTGTCATCTCTAAACTTGTTTTTAATTAGCAGGAAAACATTTTAACATGTTTGGTTTCAAAGCCAACTGATTGTCTTTTTTCCCCCAAACTATTTATGATTTGGGTTTGGTGACTTAGGTACTTAAAGTTTATTGTACTCTTAGCCAGTGGTTCTAAACTTAGCGCACATCCGATTTACCTGCAGGTGCAACAGATTGCAGGCCTGATCCGAGAGTTTCTCGTTCAGTAGGTCTGGGTAGGGCCTGAGGATTTTGATTTCTAACAGGTGCTCAGATGATGCTGTGTTGCTGGTCTGCAGCCCATACTTGTAGTAAGCTCTAGAAAAGAACTATGTTGTATTTTTTAAAAATATTTTTATGAAAAAAACCAAACAGTGAACATAGACAGCGGTAAAGTTAGGATTGTGCTGCACTGTAATGCTTATCCAGTGCCAGCTGATTTTCAGTTGATAGATTAGAAAGTCTAGTCTTATACTGCCCCTTGAGATGTTAAGAAATGTTCTCACTTTTTGAGTGAATATTTAAAAAGTTCCTGACTTAATGTATTGAAAGAATTGAATGGCATTTCCTTCACTGAAGATTGCAAAAGTTCCATTATCTTGCTATTTCTTTTATCTCTGTAATATAGATTGGGGATCATGTTTATCTTTGTATCCATCATTTCTGTTACATAGTAGGAATTTAAGTGCTTGTTGAATTAAATTGTTTAACGCATTAATTTTTTTAACTCTTCGTTATCATGCCTCTGTAAATTTGTTTTGGATCCTCACTTCAAACTTTATATTACCCAAAAGGGTTTGTTTCTTTTCTGAGAGTAGGTCCACCCTAAAAAAAAAACATTTAAAGTTTTCTGAAATATTTCCCAAGTTGTAGCTTCCCAGATTTTATTCGTTTCTTCGTGTTTTTCCAAGAGTCTAAAATGCCCTGTTTATAAGACATAGATCAGAGATTCAGCTTTCCTTTATAGTTCTTCCAGTTGCTGTCCCTTGGGCATTTCTAACTTAATTAGAAAGCTGAAGATCCTACCACTTTCTTTTATTTGATTGCTTCTTTAGTGGAAGCTGTGGTGTACCACCCAGATAACCTCCTTCAGGATTGAAGCACTCATTCCTGGGAGTGTTGGTGGCTGATAAATTGCAGCTGAGTCTGCCTTCCCCTCCTGCCCACACTGTGGATGATTGCCTTCAGCTGACAAGAACTGTCTCCCATCCAATCTCTAGTTGATGCCCCCCCACCCCCAAAAAAATTCACTGCTGTCAAGTTGTTTCCCACCCACAGCGACCCTATAGGACAGAACAGAACTGCCCCATAAAGTTTCCAAGGCTATAAATCTGTGGAAGCAGATGGCTAAATCTCTCCCATGGAGCAGCTGATGGGTTCAAACCACTGACCTTTTGGTTAGCAGCTGAGTGCTTTAACCACTGCACCCCCAGGGCTCTTCGACTGCTTGATAACAGGAATATAAAGTACTGGTCTGCTTGCTGCAATTTGGGACAACTCTGAGAGCCATCCCAGCTCCAGAGAATTCCCCCATTAAGATTGACTGAGGCCATTGTTGAAACTACATCATGGTTCAACTTCTCTGCTCAGTCCTGCTTCCTTAACTTGCCCACAGGTGTTGCTCTCCCAGCAAGTCCCAGTAAACTTCCTGTGTGCAAATATCTGTCTGAATCTGCTTCTGGGTAACCGGACCTATGAGCAATTCGTGCCGCAAGTGGTCCGAGAAAGCAGACTACTATGGGGTATGCAGTAGGTTACCGAAGGCCAGTTGACAGTGAAGACCCCCATCACTGGTAATAGAGCATGTATAACCCCTGGCGTGCAGTAGAGATGCAGTTAAAATTAACTGGTGATGAACTAGGATGACCAGTGGAATGGATTGCACAGGCCTTTGAGAAATACTGTGGAAATAGTTAAAAGGATAATGGAATGAATGGCTGTTGCTGAGGGCAATCAGTACTTTGAAGAAAGACAGGATGAATAATCACAGACTGAGGAGGGATGAGTGTGAAAGCCAGAGCCCCTCTCTCCCCTCTGGCAGCATATAAAGAGACTCATCTGCAGTGGAAGAGCATAAAAAGCTTTGAGCATCAGGCCTAGGAATTACAGTAACAGAAGTCCAAGACCAAAAAAAACTAAACCCATTGCCATTGAGTCGATTCCAACTCATAGCGACCCTAGAAGACAGAGTAGAACTGCCCATCGAGCGCCTTGCTGACCTTTGGGTTAGCAGCTGAACTCGTAACCACTACGCCGCCATGGTTTCCAACAGAGGTCCAGAGGAGCTGAATTGTCAACCTCAACAGGTCTTCTAGGCTAATATGAGACTCCTGATAGGATTGAAAAAGGGGAGGATTCTGAGATAAGGGATGAGGACATCTGTACTCAAGAATCCCGAAGCCCTAGGTTCCCCTGAACCCTTTGAGACTATAGAAGTGGCCCACCCCTTGTTAAATGCTACCCTGCTTCCTTCCCTGAAGATGGTACAGAAGCTTCTGCCTTGCAAGTCAATATGAGTACCTGTCTTAGGCTCGGTTCTCTAGAGAGGCAAAACCGGCGAAGCATACATATACATAGATTTATCTCAAAGAAATGGCTCACGCAGTTGTAGAGGCTAGCAAGTCCGAAATCCGTGGGTCAGGCTTCAGGCTGGAGGCTTCTGACTTAACGTAGCTGCAGGGGCTGATGAACCCAAGATCAGCAGGTCAGGTGGCAAGCCACTGGCTCACAGGCTGCAGAGGCTAATGAATCCAAGATAGGTAATATGGCAGGCCAGTGGCTCAAGTCCCAAGAACCGGAGGTCAGATGGTGACTAGCCTAATACAGGATCCAGAGCAAGCAAGTGAATTTTGCCAGGATGTCCATATATATATTAGATGGAGGCCACACCCCTGAGGAAACTCCCCTTAAAAATGATCAGCTGATCACTTCAGATCACATCACGGAGGATGACTACATCATTATATAACTGCCAGACTACATCATTACATAACTTCCAAACCACAGAGAATCATGGCCCAGCCAAGTTGACACACAATCTTAACCATCACAGCACCCTTTCAGGATCTGCTTCCACCTCCCTTCCTATCTACCAGACCAATAACGAGGGTTAAGTTACAAGATAACCTGGCTAGAGAAGTACACTTAAGGATAAAAGGGACTACCTCAGAGGAGCTACAGGGCCTAGCCAGCAAGAGCTAGGAGAATCCGTATGGGATTGGGTCCTGAGGGTGCTGGATCAAGGGAGTAGGAACATAAACTTCGATAAGGAAGAATTTATCAATATAGATGCACTCTCCTGAGATAAAAGATTTAATTCCCTAGCAAGGATCCTGAAAGATGGTGCTAGGATGGCTTTGAGAATTTTAGAGGAAGCAATGACTCACACTAAGTGAAGCAGAAATGCTAAAACTACTGCGGCAAAGGGTGGAAGAAGGATTAAAAGACTCAGAGAAGTGGGCATACTAGAGTGGATGTACTACATAAAGCCAGAAAACGCGTAAGATGACTATGTTCCAGAGGACACATTTATCAGCAATGAGGAAGGCTCTGGTGAGAAATGCCCCTGCATCACCCAGAAGCTGTCTTCTGTAGACCAGTAGCAGATGCAGTTACAAAACTGGGCTCCCTGGTTGCAATGGGTATGATAGGATCCCGAAATGATGGGGATTAGGACACTTAACCATGAGAAACAAGATGGGTACAATAATCATGAGTGGCAAGGTCAGAACGGTAGCAAGAAGGGCCTGACCTACAGAGGGCTATGCAGAGTATTACTGAAACATGGCTTCTCTAGGGGCAAGATAGATGAGCAATCATTAAGGTGTTGCTCTATACAATCAGAAGAAATTAGAAAAACCCCCAAAATAGTCATGATTTCTTGCCCCAGTTCTGGACCTGAGCCAGTTTTCATACCCTGATTGATGGAGAAACTTGATCCCAGGAGAAAGAACCCTGCAACACCACAGCAGTGTACACAGTAATGATTGCACTATGTGTCCCCATAGGGACCTATAGCCATTTACTTGGGTAAGCACACTCTGGGCAAAGGAGGATACTCAAAACATTCCAGGGACTGTTGGACACAGTACCTGAGTTGATAGCCTGGGGCCCAAAGCATCATCATGGCCCCCTTACTTAGGGGTGGAGCATATGGAAGCCAAGTAATAAATGGAGTCCTGGGTCACACCCAGCTCACAGTGTGTTAATGGGTCCATGATCGTTTCCCGATCCCCAAATAGATCACTGAAATGGGCCTACTTGGAGCTGGCAAAACCCCCACATTAGTTCCTTGACCTGTGTGTGGCATAGCAATAACAGCAGGAAAAGCTGTTACACTTTTTTTTTTTTATTGTGTTTTAAGTGAAAGTTTACAATTCAAGTTAGTCTCTCATACAAAAATTTATACATACATTGTTATGTGACCCTAGTTGCTCTCCCTATACTGTGACAGCACATTCCTCCTTTCCACCCTGGATTTCCTGTGTCCATTCAACCAGCTCCTGACCCTCTCTGCCTTCTCATCTCGCCTCTAGACAGGAGTTGCCCATTTAGTCTCGTGTATCTACTTGAGCTAAGCAGCACACTCTTCACGAGTACCATTTTATGTCCCATAGTCCAGTCTAATCTTTGTCTGAAGAGTTGGCCTCAGGAATGGTTTTAGTTTGGGGCTAACAGAGAGTCCGGGGACCATGTCTTCAAGGGTCCCTCCAGTCTCAGTCAAACCATTAAGTTGTTACAGACTATTTTAAATCTTATCCCACTAACCATAAAGCAAATTCCACAGCAACTTCTCCCCTGTCCCTACTGTCAAGGGGGCTGAAAGCCACTGAAATAGGAACTACTAGTGATGAGAGTCATTAGATCAAGTCCCAGTCCTGCAGAGTGTGTATCATGTGCATACATTGCAGAGTGCAGTTATAATT